AAAAAAAAAATTATTCCTGAAAACTACAAAGTTATTCAAGTTTTAATTTTTCAGATTACCTCCCTTTGTTGGTAGTTTGAGAGCAGAATTGGTAAAAAATCACCTAGCAGGAGAATTCATATTACTCGGTCACTTTTAAAGTGAGAAAGGAAACGGATACATCTTTTTGTTCATTGTGTCATTTTCCAGACATTTAAAAGGTTTTGATTGAATTTTTGGGGAAAAAAAGGGATGTATAAGGTAGCAGAGTACAGTAGCGTACGGTGGCCATGGGTGATATTTTTATACAATGAATAACCCCTGTAATATAACATGTATCAAAATTTAAAAAAAAAATCAGCACTAAAATTGGCATATACATGATGAAGTGGACTATGTGGGCTTCATAATTTAAAAAAAAGAAAAGTCGAATTTGGTTTGAGACTACAATTTTGGGCATTTACGAATCTGTGTCTACACAACAAAAGCTAGCTTTTCATGTAGTCTATTTTTGTACTCAGCACATGTGTAAATATTGTGAAAAATCCACCGGAATGACCTATGCTAAAACGTGAGTATTTCTGTTACCGAGTAGGCGATATTTAATTTCAGACAGGTTTTAAGAAAAACAATTCTACTTGCGGGGGTCAAATTCTGGGTTAAAAATCATGATTTTTTGCATATTTTGGTGTTTTTTGATGTGGTAACCATGGTTTTCAGAAGTCCCAAATCTGGGGAAATCACTTTTTGAAAAAAAAAATGTTCTTCTAAAAAACACCTATTCAAAATGTAGTTTATAAATATATATATATATATGTAGGTGTGTTGTGCAGGATGAATCCGCTATCCATGTTTATCCGAGACATGCCCTTTATTTTTAGGGTCAAGCCATTTCTACTGTACTCTGCCACCATTGTAGCGCCTTGGATATATATTTGTTCTCTCTACTTCCTAAAAACCTTTAGGTTACTAGCGCCTTCTTTGGAAATACGTCACCTTGAGCCTTCGTTTTGAACTTTCGCGCATTTGAGAAAAGCAAAGGGTTCTGTCCCCAGGCTTGCACATACCAAAGACTTAAAATGGTAGTTGTTATTACCTGCTTAATGTTCAGCATTTAGGGTAATAATAACAACTGGTTAATCCGTTGTCAGAACAATGTGACCGGGCGGAATGCTGCGCTGGTTGTCTTTAGCATGGTAATTCAGTGAAGTAGCACTATAAGGTTGACATCAGATCCCTGCTTTCGCAAGGAGGCAAATGCACCAACATTCAACCTCCAGTATACCTTATACGCATACATTTCACACATATTAGCCCGTCTTTAATTGACCTTGGGTGTTGATGGGACGTCAGACAAAATAAAACCAAACCGATCCCATGCATATAATAACAGCTTACTTAGAGTATTCTTGTTGTACGTATACTACACTTTGGTACTTGTTTCATAAAAATAATCAAATCGGATAATGTTAAAAATATGAATATGGTTGTGTTTCAATTTCATTAAGCTCTAAATTATGTCAATGTATGTTTTTTCATCAACTTTTAGATATTATCCTGTATATCTTGAACCAGTTCTGTTTGTACATGTATCAGCAATTCTTTCTGTATAACGATTTAAAAAAAAAAAAAAAAATGAAGTATTTTCAGTGACCCAAATATAATTTAAATCATTAAATATTAGGCATTACCGTGTGTGTATAATACACACGTATGAGGTTTTATTTTGTCATAATCATCGGTCTGTAACTGTTCGCCTCCTGTCTTATATAAAATTCTCATAAACTATTCTGTCTGGTTTAAGTCTGGTTTCAATGGTGACATTAAACTGATTCCCGGGGTCAACAATACCGGAAACGTTTACTTTGAAGGCGAAGACCTCCTATATCTGTTCGAGGTAAGGATTTACTACGTTTGGTAGATTTACACAATCATAATTGCATTTTGTTTTCTAAATACTGTTATGGATAGACAATATCTCCTAAAATTCGCAAAGTTATTCTATGAGTTGAAATTATGTTCCCTGGATCGATTCAACCTTTCCGATAGGAAGAAGGGACAAGATCAAAACGTCGGATACGTTAAAAACCCCGTCGTATACTGAATAATAAGGCAATGTTGTTTGGAACATCTTATGTATTATAACTTGTTCGGTTTAACAAAACGTTTACAAATATATGCCTCAACACATTGCAACGCACAATAAAGGATTTTAAACAAGGAAATATCACAACTCAAAACCTGTAGTGCCCAGTACTCAATAAGATAATTTATTTTTTATTTATTTTTCTTAAGGTCATTCTGAGTCAGCCCCCAATATGGTCAGAACATTCACCGTTCGGACACCTTGGAGATTTCCATGGAGGCGAGCGAGTATTCGTTCAGTTGGAAGCGCTGGTATTTTACTTTTTATTTTCGTTCTGTTATTTTGCAAATTTTCACTTTTTTCCAAAATACTATATAGTATACCATGTAACTCTTGTTAATATTTTCTCAGGTTTTTCGAAGTGTTGCTGTTCAACGTTTTTGTAAGCTCTTACCAGTAATTCGCTAAATAAAATAAAATATTCAGTCAAATGGATCAAAAGGAGTGGGGAATCCTCTAATCAATTATACAGTCATACATAACAGTTATAGTTATAATAATGAGCATTCTTTTTACAAAGTTGATACGGAGGAAGTGTTAGAACATATTTTCTCCCACAACCCTGTAGGTTTCCTCACTCCTGACTCGTTAGATAAACCTTCTATGAGTTGGTAAACATTTTTGGTTACCCACTATTGGGTAACACCCTGGACGTAATATCATCGGTCAATTTATTACTTATGACGTCACTTAACAATGCATTGCAACGTCATCGTCCATTGTGACGTTACGATTCACGGCGATTGTTTCCCCAGATTTTATTGAAATTACGCATATCTTTATATGTTTTTATGGATGATTAACTAATTAATTTATAAAGGATCCAGAAGGAGGTCAAGTGACGTATTCGGTGGTTGCGGGAGATCTTCCCCCGGGAATAACACTTGATTCCACATTAGGACAAGTAAAGGGTCTAGCTCCTGACGCTGACACAACTTACAGCTTCACTGTCCGCGCTACTGATTACCAGAGCAAATACGCCGACAACGTGTTGCAGATGAAGGTCAGAGGTGAGAAGTACATATCCCGTACATTTGTATTTGCGACAAATTGACGGGCTTTGTGCATACTAAAATTATTCATCCTAGGCCTGTAATAACTGTTTTACTTTCCTAATTTTCGCACACGCAAACTTGTTCATGTCTAAAATAAAACGTTCTCTAACGCTTGTATGGTCACTTTTAAAATTGGATTATAAATAAGAGAACAACAATAAATACTTAACGTAAAAAGTCAAAATAGAGTTTTAGAGGCAATTCAAAATATCAGCTATGGAATAAATTTGGTAATTGATATTCACACCACACTCAAAAGGCCTGCCTAGCAATAACACAATAACACAATAGCACATGTCGATCCTGAAGTGGAATCAGTCAGCCATGGCCATGTTTAAAATATATTTAGGATATCATTCAATGTATTATAAGATATTCATTCAAGATCCTATACTTTAGAAGTAATATTGTTATACATTCTTTTTACACTCATTTAAACGTACTTTATTATGACAACTATCTCTATATAATATGTAATAATGAGATTGTTGTCAGTACGTTTTTCCAATTAGAATATATACTCATTTATTCACCGATTCATTACATCTTAAAATGATTTAGAAAGTTATCTTTTTCATAAAAATGTAAAAGAAAACAATACAAAATATGTATGCATGTAAATTATCAAAATTCAGTTCTTTTCCGTCAAAATCAAATGTTTCTTTTCTAAAGGTGTTAGATCGAGGAACTTAGCTTTAGTTTGCCTGAATATTCCACTGATCTTCGATGTTCCGTTTCACCTTTTTTGGGGGGCGGAAGTTTCTTTTAAATTGTTCAATTTTCAATTGGAACCTTTTATATTGTAAGCTATTAACAACATGCAAAGCGTTTCAATGTATGAACTCAATATTTTTTATAAAACTAATTTGGTTTTTCAAGAATTTACGAGAACATATATAGCTGCACATGTTTTACTTTAAATTTTGACCTAAACGTTGTTTTTCTTACAACTGTAGGCATTGATTCGTGTACGAGTACTACCTGTCTGCATGAAGGGATATGTCAGGACACGAAGAATGACTTTCACTGTAACTGTATACACCCGTATGGAGGCAAAACCTGCAGCCTGGGTTCGTCTTGGCTTTATGTATTTATATATTGATATATATTGATATATATTGATATATTGATATGTTGATATGTTGATAAATTGTATCTGTGGACAGTCAGTCTTCAGGGCTTTATAATGTATCATTGGATAAGCAACATAAATAAAGCACATTTTTCTGACTAATTACAAAATTTTGTAATTTGGCATGTATCTTATAGTGTTTTCATGTATACAGGTACATTTTATTTACCACAGGTATTTTTTCATTACTCCAAGGTAATCTGATTTGCTATACCGTATAGCTGGGTTTTTACGTAATATCCACCTCAAGATAAAAGGACGTTGACAACTACAACATATTGTTTCCATTTCAGATTGTCGAAATAACGGACTAGGAGTAGACGGGCGTCACAAGGTGGTACCAGATGCCCACATGTCAGCATACAAATCATACAGTACCTACCTGGCACTAAATGGACGCCTGTACGGGTCTGGGTGGTATGGAGTGGACAGTCAGTCATGGCTACAGGTCGACTTTGGTATGTGATAGTTAATAGATTTCAAACGTGAGAGATCAATGGTCGGTAGAAACAGTAGCAATGGTTGAAGTTATTTGCTTTTATGGAATGAAACTAATCAGACAGTATCGTCATTTCGCAATCAAATGTTGTGTTACTGATAAAATAAATTGGTACATGTACCTTCTCTCCGCCTGTAAAACTGATTTAAGATAACCATCCCATGTTAAACCTTAGTTAATGTAAATGTATTAGCTTAACTACATATACACATTAAGTACTACAGCGTAAGCAATTTAGGGAACTATAAAAGTCGATAATATACGAAACGACAACAGTAACAAGCTGCCGAGACATGAAAGGAAAGACAGTTGCTCCATTACAAAATCCGAAAAGCGAAAGCAAGTGCTCTGGGAATGGATAAGCAGCTCCAGCACCACACGTGGACGAACCATGATGTCTCACATTATAGAAAGGAAACTATGTTGGTCACCCACGATCCCACTGTGGATAAGTCTTTAATCCTGATAGCCACTATGAATGGCTGAAGTCATTTAAAGATGTGACCCCATGCATCCATGTATGTAATTTAAGCGTGCATATGTATACTGGAGGAGGAAAGTTGGTGTATTTGTATCCTTACGATATCGCGGATCTGATGCCGACTTTATAGATTACCACATTAAATGCCTAACGATTTGCAGTTGGTTATAGAAGGTAAATTCTTTTCTCATTTCCCAACCTGCAGGGATGTATAGAGGCTAACATTTACTGTATTTGATAGTTTTATAAGCATATTCCCTCTATCAAGAACAACATCTGGGGAAGCGACTAATCTAAAACGCGTGGATTATTTTCATTATAGGAAACGTAACTCAAATCCATGGTGTACAGATTCAAGGATGTAGCAGCTACTACTATACAACGGCATTCAACCTACAGTTTAGTGTTGATGGTAATTCCTTCACTAACTACACCACCGACGGCGTCAGTCCCAAGGTAAGTATTCACTAGCTACTATATCTTCTCCACCTAATAAAACAATGGCATCAGTCCCAATGTAAGTATTCACCAGCTACAACAAATCCATCAGCTTATACAACAGTGGCGTCAGTCCCAAGGTATGTGTTCACCAGCTTCAACTCCCTCACCACCTAATACAATAATGGCGTCTATCCCAAAGTAAGTATTCTGCTACAGCTTCCTCAGCTTATACAAAAACAACAAGTGAAAACTGAAGTGTCAACAAAATTATAATCCAAACTCAACATCGGCAAAACTAGGGCAAAATATAAACAAAGGAAATATTTACATGGAGACCCTCGGAAAATAACAAGGACAATAAGACCAGGTGTTCCCGAATGGTAAGCGTATTCTGCTTCATCGACGACACCCGCCATGTAAATCTACATTTGTAAGTAGTATCCAAGTAATATCACGTCCTCACACAGAGAACGCAGGAAAACAAAACCACAAGACACTCTTATCAACATAATAAAAAAGCACACGAAGAAAAAGCGTATTTCCACGCGAGATGCTGATCATAAACCTTGTCCGTAGACTTCATCAGCCTACATCTTTGAAAACGCTGTGTTGAAGGTTTGTCAGTCTCCACTTCATCAGCCTACATCTTTGAAAACGCTGTGTTGAAGGTTTGTCAGTCAGCAGTCGACATCTATCCCGGAAGTCATGATATTCGGAACAAGTACATGGGTAGCGAATTAACTGTAAGATGTTAACACCGTAGGTAAGGCAATAAGGGGTGTTTCTATCAAGAAAAGTAACGTTCATGATCTGAAAATCGAAATCGTCCCGTAACAGTCCTAACTTGAGATGTAAGCAGAAACATTTCCGGCGCAGACATTGTCGTAACGATAAGTTAGTCACCCAGGTAACTGTCAATAACAATCATACGCTAACATCAGTCACAAAGCCACAAAGTAAGTGCTAAAATATAATGGCATTATTGAAGTCAAATTTTTATTGCAATTAGATAAATAATATAGCCATGGGATATAGCCAATAGTAAAATTATTTGAAATAGTGTCATTATCAGGAAATACAGGAAAATGATAACAGAAAGATAGAGAGTTACTACGGAAGAGTGTTGCAATGTTAAATTATAGTATTGGGCTCTATATGTGTTCATTGGTTTAGTACTGATAATATTATCGACTTATTTCCAGAGCTTCCCTGGTTACGGGAACACCAACAGTGTATACAAGTCGTCGTTAGCCCAACCTGTGGACGCAAGGTACGTCCGGTTTGTGCCTACCAACTGGAACCGCTCCTACAAGCCTTGTATGCGGGTAGAACTTCTGGGATGTTACTACCTTTAGTTTGGACATTTTGCATGTGTTTATGTTTCGAGGCAATAAACTTGTGTTCTTGCAATCCTTTTTTAATAGCCTTTGTTTACAACTTACAGCACAAACCTCAAATTACTGTAGTCTATTCGAGTTATTGTCCTCTGTCGTTTTCACTAGCCAACAAACAATCTTTTCTTCTCATCAAAACTTGAGTATGTGTATAGTCACTTCCACGTAGTTCCGGTTAGGACATATTTTGAGGGAACACAAATAATCCTATAATGTCAACTCATTACGGCGCAATGACAAAATCAGAACTCGCAGTCGAAACGAAAAGTCAACAAAAGGAAACTAGTAGACACCAGACAAAATAAGACATCAAGCATCCTGAAAGAAGGGGGTTGAGATAATGTGGTCCGGAATGTTAAAGGATTAAACGCATATTGCGTTGCACTCCTCGTGATGATCTCCCGTCACGTTTAAGAAAATGTGTCACAGTCTTCTGTTCACTAACTATCCCAGACACATAGAACATACGGTATACATAGAAATCCATACACAGGGATTCTACACAAAACATGACATCGACAAAAAAAAATGGAAAAAAATCAAAATAACAAATACTTTCTCAATATGGGTATTTTTTTTAAATTATTTTTTTCTTCATCAGAATGCATATATGGAGGATGGCGAAGGATTTTATCGATAATGTTATAGTAAAATTATCAATTGCTTCGATTTACAAGATATACCAGGAGACTCTTGAAAAAGGACGAAGAGAAAATGTGTAGATGTTCTTGAAAAGCAAACATCTTCAACTTCATAAACGACACCCATCGTATAAGTCGAGGTCAAATCTAATCAAAATGGGATATTTGTGTAGTATTTGGCTTTTACCTAAATAAATATTATTATTAATCGAAACTTGATCGAAATCGTTCAAAAGTATAGACCAAAAATAATATTCATCAATATGCATCTCTCGAAACTTCTTTATGTCCGTCAGGAGTCGACGTCTATCATGGTAACTGAGGCAAGGCTTAACGTTTAATGTTGTGGATTCTTCTTCTTCACTTTTGATTAATCTTAAATCTATATGATGTCTACATTTATCCTACCCACACTATCAATGTACACATCGATAAAGCTGTAGTAATCTGAAGTGTTTCTTTAATATTTAAAAACTGCTTTTGAAAATAAAGTTACCAACGAGAAGTGAGACCAAATGTGTTGACGTTTGAGTTAAAAGACAAATACTTCAGCAGTGGTCAATTCGTCAATAGGGCACGTCTTATAATCTGATTGGAAATTTCGTGTCTGTGACGTCCTGTGTCAAATGCAAGCATTGGTGTTTAATTTGTTTGTAGTGTGTAGTAGGCTTTAGGTAAAGAAGAGATATGCTTTAATATTACTTAGGTCAAAAATGAACACCCATACAAGTATATGAAGAACATATTATATAAGACATAGTGAATGTTTGTATCACCTCCTCTGTAGGTAAACATGAACACAAGGCATGGTATAGATCCAGGAAGACCAGCTTCTTTTATTTGGATGTGTTATAAATTTAGATATATAATTATTAATAACAATATCACAAAATGTGTATTTTCATAAAGAAACAATATTGAAATGATGGGAATATATAAAGGACAAACATGATAAAAACACAATTTTCAAACAATTTCAGGCAACACATGATTTTTAACTTGCTGTGAAAGGAAAGGAAAAAATTGGCAAAGCATCAGTAAGTTCTGTTGATTAAACAAATAAAAACGAAAGCAGAAATAAATATTCCATTAATCCTCTTTAACCTTACAAAACAATAGCAATCCCTTAAATTAAAGTTGAATTAAAACAAATAATGAACGTTGAGTTGTGGCTTACGATTCTGTAAACAGATATTTAGTTTGTCCTTGACTCTTATATCCAATTCGATTAATTTTTGACATCAAGCTTTAAAAAAATTAAAATATTGAAAAATATGAAATTGTAAGTAAATTAGGCAGTATTACAAAATCATTTTTCGACAATATATGATTTCAACAAATAAGAAAAATATTTCTGACAAGTACATGTAATAAACATTGAACGATATTGTGAATTACAAAATACAAATTAACAAAAATGTTAGTTACTGCTGTTATGAAATCACATAATTAGAAGGTTCCAGCTCTTCACATGTCACATATTATAAAAAAAATCATAAAAATTCTGTTTCTTACTTACAAAATTGAACCATTTTTCAAAGACTGCATACAAAAGAGTACACACGTCCACAGAGTATTTTTACCACATGGCTAGGAAACATTGTCCAGAGAAACAGTAAAAAAACATCTCATGTTAACCTACTAGTTTTACATATTCTAAGAATTTGGATTCAATAACAACAATAGCAATAGCTACAAAAGGAATTATCTATTTTAGTTTTATTAAAGTTTTAATTACATATCTACTGTAGTCTATGACGTCCTAACATCACCAAAGCCTCTGTAAAGAGGTAAACACTACAAGTGAGGTTAATTAAGGGTAATATTGAGAGAAGTGGTTAATGGTTGTGGTAGTACACTCTACCCCAGCGTCAGAAACAATAGGAATAGCTGATGATATCAGAATCTCCAGCAAAGGTGAAAACAAAAATTTTGAAAAATAGATTTGTATCATCTCACAAAATGAATTTTAGTTGAGCACAATGTACATCATTTAAAATCCAACAAGGTTGTTTATCAACAAAATGGTTATTACTAAAAAATACACTGTTTAAATCAAATAGTAACTGAAAACGTGTTGAAATACAAACAGTGCATAATTTCAATTGAAATTCTTTCAGTTTATTTTATATTTGGTTTGCTTTTCTGTAATAGGTTTCTATTGCACAAGTCGTATTTGAGAAGGCCAGCTTCCAACGCAACATATTCTAGGTCGTTACCAAGACAATAATAAAACCATGCTGTTAACATGGTGACAATATTGACAAGATAAATGACTTCTTAAATACATCAAAACTTACCTTAACATTTTGTTACTAAGGTAACAGTAAATAGTAACTATACCTATTTTAATTAATGATCATGCACCTTCAGAAAATATACACTAAGTACTCATATTTCTAGACATGTTTTCAAAACAATTTAATTTGAAAGTTTCATCCTAAGCTGATGAAGGTGATACTTACTAGATCCTGAACTTCAATGTAAATAAAATATTGTGTATACACTACCATATATCATAAGTTTGCAGAATATCAATATTTTTTATATGAATGCAAAGTATGATATAGAATATCGGCACATTCTGCCAAACGAGTGAAATATATATATAAAGTATTTAATGGGAGAACCATTAAATGTTTTCAATAGTTCAACGAAAGTATACCTGCAAAAAAGTGGGGGAATTAGTAGCGTCAAGTTCTAATGATTCACACTTGATAATAAGGCTACACACCATTTTGAATAAGTAAATAATAACATTTTTTTTTAGTTATGTTAGTCAAATACATATCTTAATTTTTGCAGCAAAGATGAAGCAAGACAACCATCTGTTCTTCGTCACTTCCTCTGCAGCTGAACTAAAAATCTGTGGCTTTGAATGCAGTGAATAAAAAGTATCATTCTGATTGGTCAATTCTAAACCTGATATCTTCACCTAGATATAACATTTAGTATATCTTCACTGCAATATAAGTTTTTATTAAAATGATCAAATATTTAAAAATGATAATGCAATAAATTGATGATATTTATAGACATGGTGAACTTAGAGTGTTACATGTTATTACACGAGTCTGAACTGTAACTCATGTACATAAATACCTGATATCTATAATAATAATAATTAATAATAATTTGAGGTTCTTATATACCGTTTTATCACAACCTAGTACGTAGGTCCTCTCAAAGCGGTTCACAAATTATTACCCGTGGTTACAGGGCCTTTAATTGCAACCAGCCAATACCTTTCTCAACTCCCCGGGGAGCATACAGCCAGAGCTGCCGTTTCGGCGCTAACAGCTAGCATGCAACATTTCTAGCACTGCCCAACCACATTCTCATTTACAGCTGAGTAGAATTGAACAAGCGGAGTAAAATATCTTGCTCAAACATACAACACAGTGCCGTGCCGTAACTTGAACACGCAACCCATCGGTCACGAGCCCGCGTCCTAGCACTAGACTACCGTGCGTCACAACCCTTCGGTCACGAGCTCGGCGTCCTAGCACTAGACTACTGTGCCTCCAAATCTACATATATGTATGTAGAGGAAAGCCTAAAAAGTGATACATGTTACAACAGAGACGATTGTTTGTGTTAACTTGCATAGAGTTGAGTGTCAGTGTATAAGTTAGACCATCATATCCCAATGATACCAGTGGTACAGCCAATGTCGAAGGGATCTGGACGACATTGTAGTTACTGTAGAAACATTGATTTTGATATATTTTATTTTCAGACATTCACTTAGGACACATCACCAAAGAAACGCTGCCTTTATTTTCTTCTTAGAATCCTCAACAATCTGAACAGCTGATCGTGATTCCAGACAAGCATGCTGCATTTTTGCACGGTTTTGTTCAATAGTTACTGATATTTCTTTGATGTCTGCTTGACTTCGGGGAACATTGTCCACAGTAGCAACTGCATCCCAGCATTCCTCACACATGGTGCTGAGGCGGGCATCCATTTTCTGAAGATTGGTATCAAGTATAGGGCATTCCTTCAGTATGGCCTTACACACATTGGCAAACTGTAAAAGACAACAGCTTTATGTTAATCTCAGCACTACATCTCTAGTTACATGACATCAGATATATATTGTATTTGTCAAATGTTTTTAAGGTTGAACAATTCTGAGCACTTCAAAAACTGTTAAAAGTAACGATATATTTTTTATTACAGAAGGTGTGATTTGAATGAAGCATTTTAGATGTGACTAGGAAAAAAAAAGACTTGTATACTCTACTGGAGAACCAGCTTTTACGTAACATCACACCTTGTTATGATCTAACAGTAAGCTCTCCTCAAACACTCGCCCTCTCTACTTTCCTGTAAAGAACCATATTAAACATCCCTAGGTCCTTCTGATCCTGCCCTTTTATAAACAGGTAGTCAGAGCACCTTTTCCTCCAGTAACGTTAATAGTTCTTCTCTCACTCTCAGGAAGTGAGTGTATGAACTTAGGGTAGAAGTCATTGTAATACTTTTTTAGCAGAAATATGGATGGTCATATGAACATTTATATTTTTGAGAAAGAGCCCACAGAACCATCAAATGTTTCAGTGTCAGAAGCTCCTTTCTCCAAATATACAGTATTCAAAGCTATATGTAAGGATTTACCTTCACTTTGACGGCATATACGGTAGTATGAAGGCAGTGGTAACAAACATATTCTATGGTGCACGTTAGTGCTCCATAAAGCATATGTTCATTGCTTACTATGTTCATACTACTGTATAAGTCATCAAAATGAAGGTCAATACTTACATTTACATTCAAAATCTGCTTAAATACTACAAACAAAGAAAAAAGATATTGAATCAGGTTGCTACGATAGTAACTTCAGTTCCAATGATTCTACATCTATATATGAGTGAATTTAGAAAAAATACATTGAACAACCCTTTCTTCTTTTTTCATATCTTTTAAATTTTTGAGTAATGTGAATAGCCTTCCCTACATTTTTATTCATCTATAACGGTCGTTATGCACGTGCGTTGACACATTGCTCTGGTAGTGATGTGGTCGAAATTTTCAGAACGAAGTCACCATTGTTTAGTGTGCCTTCAAAGTAATTTGAATGTGCATCCATGGAATAATAGGTTTAGCAGCATCCCTTTGTTGTAAGACATAACGGATCCCCAGTATGTTCCATGTATCTAGATGGTGAAGGAACCCAACAATGGATGTCATCGTACTGTTTTCTTGCTGAAGCGTGAACGGGGCCATATTTGAAACAAATATCAATCTGCCGAGTCTTTTTCATTGTGTATACGCTATTTTATATGTGGTTATAGTTTGTTCAGCTGAGGAAGGGAGAAATGTAAAGTACAGTATTACTAAATCTATATACAAAATGTATTCAAAAGAATACTGTGATATCACAAGCACTTTTTGTCTGAAGAAAACACCTTTGTCTAACATTCATATAATAAGTAAAATATATATAACTAGATAAATCTAGTCTAATTTGTCATATGATGAGCTCATAGATACTTATAGTTTACCTCATTGTGAAAAAGTTTCATGAGAACTCTCATCTTCTTCACCGGTTTGAAATCTTCATCTTTTGAGACAATATCTAGCTTACAGAAATCTTCATCTTTCTTAACCTACAAATACAATCAAAATCCACACTATTAATCGTTCATGCAGATAATGAAATTGTAGAAAATTCAGATAAATTTATAGAGACAAATAACACTGAAATACACCTTCTTATCCTTCCTGTATCTTGGGTTCAGCATGTCTGATAGCAATCATTCAGCACCTAATAGCACATCTGTTATCATCTAATGGATTGGTACATTTTTGTTTTTCTGTGTCATATCATTCGATAAACTTTCCTTCAACTCAATTCTGTTGTGTTTCTGGCAGATATTATCTATATGACTTCCGATTCCATCTCATGTTTGTTTGGGGGAGACAGTATTTACCTTGAGTTCAGCCCCATCCCCTATGTTGCGTTTAAGGGCAATTATACAGTCCTCCAGACTCGTCTCCCCTGATTCCAGTATTTGAGCTTGCAGGCACATCTCCTTAAGTTTTGTGAAAGACTTATGATGATAATCACGTAACATGGCTACCTTCTTCACAGCAACATCTGCCATCTCAAAAACCTCGTCAAACTACAAAAAAAACCATCAAAACATCAACATTACTAAAACAGCACAGCGAGCACAATATCAACATATGCAAAGCGTACATAACAATCATAATAACTTACAAAATTATAGTATCACATCACATCGCTATCTTACTAATAATTTCAATCAAATTAATATACAAACAAATCACATTGGTCAGCATAAATAACAACATTGACTGCTTGTCCTGTTTTTGTCAGGAAAGATCAGTTTGTAGCCCACTACGGGGAGACAGCCTTGTGTATAATAGCATGTTCTAATTGGGACATGATTAAAAGTGAATGGCGATTTTCAAGAGCCCCAAAAATACGGAGATTTCTCTGTCACTCCCTCAAGGTAAGGAAAGATTCTATTGGTCTACTTACAAACAATATCAATCACATTTTCAACCTTCAACACAACAGCCATCATATTGTCAAACTGTATTGTGGTAACCATCAAATTGTCAAATCTCCTAACTGATATATCAGAAAACTGTGTTAATTGAGACATAAGAAAGATTTGATTTCTGGAGGTGAATTTCCAGTAAATAATTTTTAAACCTGTTAAGAGAAAGCACCTGTCTTCATAATAAATCTACTCCCATAGATCCCTCACCTCCTTCACATGTGTCAATTGAAGACCCTCGTACTCCAGTTGTTTTGCTTTCTTCTGCTCCGAGGGCTTGTCTTTCCGTTTCCACTTGTTCACAGCAAACTTTGCCTCAAGTATGTGGCGTACTAGGTATTGTATAGCCTCCCTTACCGACCCATCACCGTCCCGAGCAGACGCCATCAGACTGTAAAGTCACCGCAAATTAGTTTGTAGCAGAATAAAAACAGTAGGTATATGAATCAAACTAAAAAAGTGAGACCATGAAAAGTTTTCATTGGGCTATTCCAGTTTTAATGGTAAGAAGTCTAGAAAAGCATTTTAAAAGATATTGAAGTAACCTAAGAAACAGAAGGTAGAGGTTATGTTCCTCAACTATCTATATAATTCTGAATAACCTAACCACCCATACACATGTATTCTCCAACTTACACACATTGCTAGTCTTCTACCAAATAACTCATACATTTCCAATCAAATTACATCCAACTCCTTTATCCAATAAAGTTAATTTTGGAACTATAACCTTTAAAGTCTTCTGGTTAAAATCCAAATTTAATTGACTACTAATTTAGTCTACTACACCATAAAATCCTTTCACAAACACTTGATTAACAAGGTGAAAATTTACTTAATACCCTACCTTCCATGGAACTTGTGATCTAAAGCAGTCTTCTCCAAAAATTTGATACATTCTGGTTTTTCTTCCTCAGTAAGTGGACCATCTATCGACCATATCTTACGAGAGTTCTCTTCCATTTCTTGATTCTCCTTATCTACAGAATACAAAAGCACTGTATGGTATTAGGAAGTTTAACACCACATTGTCTGACCTAGTTTTAGACTATGACTCAATATAGTGTTTATTTAATTATATAATGGAGCGTTATTTATGCAGTCACCTGGCTTACACATCTCACAAACCAGCCATTTTTGTCACCAGAAACAGTGGTAACTGGATTGTTGAATCTCCATTCTATATATTTTTTTAGTTAATTAAATATTATTTAAACAATAGTATATGTAGTATACCATATGTTTTCTTTGTTATATTATTAGTTCAATGATGTGGTTATTTAAATTGAAACAACAACACTGTTCTAATGGTTAATTCATTCAAACTATACCTTCTTCTTCTGGACTTCTTTTCTCCATCTTTGCTCGTTCCACCATCATTTTCTTGAGACGTTCAGCTTGTATCCTCTGTTCAATCTGAAATAAAAAAAAATATAATTTATGAATACAAGGTTTGATCAGAGCTGACAGGTCTTGGTCACACTTGCTATTGTAGTAAAGTTCTAGGTGGGATGTTCATTTAGGAAATACATCCTCCAGCTTGACTGCCAATTTTCTTTACAGGAAAAACTAAAATGTTCATGTCTATTGCAAGATTTAAGCAATTGCGTCTATTACATGTATCTATTAGTTAGGCCTATAGGAGAAGTTGTAGCTTCTCCAGGGAGGTATGGTAACACTATACAGTATTATGTATCAGGTCAGCTAGAGCAGAGGTTGTCAAGTTGGACACCTTGGTATGTTTAGACAAGTTTTTACTGTAGAATTGTGGTCTTCACAAACTAGGTGATGAAACAGACAAGAACGATCAGTGTTGTCATACTACATGTACAAAACCTGGCGACACCCACCACGTCAAACTTGTTGCCAAGTAGAAGGATAGGGAATGTGTCCTTGTCAACCGCAGTCTCCTCCATGGTTGTCATGTGGACCTGGCCCGCCTTGTCCTCGACTGGGTGTGTCAGAAATGTGTTGTTGAGGACTGTCTGACGCCATACTGGTGCCATCTCTATACTTGTCGGCTCAGTCATGTCAACCACCACTGTAACACAAACAGGAGAGTTCAGACAACCACCACTAACACAAACAGGAGAGTATAGACACCCACCACTTAAACAAACAGGAGAGCTCAGACAACCACCACTGTAACACAATAAGAAGAGTTCAGACAACCACCACTGAAACACAAACAGGAGAGTTCAGACAACCACCACTTTAACACAAGCAGGAGAGTTCAGACAACAACCATTGTAACACAATCAGGAGAGTTCAGACAACCACCACTTTAACACAATCAGGAGAGTTCAGCCAACAACCCTTACACAAACAGGAGAGTTCAGACAACCACCACTAACACAAACAGGAGAGTTCAGACAACCACCACTACAACACAATCAGGAGAGTTTAGACAACCACCACTGTAACACAATCAGGAGAGTTCAGACAACCATCACTGTAACACAAACAGGAGAGTTCAGAAAACCACCACTAACACAAACAGGAGAGTTCAGACAACCACCACTGTAACACAATCTGAAGAGTTCAGACAACCACCACTGTAACACAAACAGGAGAGTTCAGACAACCTCCACTGTAACACAAACAGGAGAGGACAGACACCCACCACTAAAACAAACAGGAGAGTTCAGACAACCATCACTGTAACACAAACAGGAGCTGTAACACAAACAGGAGAGTACAGACACCCACCACTTACACAAACAGGAGAGTTCATATAACCACCACTGTAACACAATCGGGAGAGTTCAGACAACCATCACTGTAACACAAACAGGACAGTTCATATAACAACCACTGTAACACAATCAGGAGAGTTAAGACAACCACCACTACAACACAATCAGGAGAGTTCAGACAATCACCACTTACAGAAACAGGAGAGTTCACACAACCACCACTAACACAAACAGGAGAGTTCACACAACCACCCCTAACACAAACAGGAGAGTTCAGACAACCACCACTGTAACACAAACAGGAGAGTACAGACACCCACCACTTAAACAAACAGGAGAGTTCAGACAACCACCACTGTAACACAAGCAGGAGAGCTCCGACAACCACCACTAACACAAACATGAGAGTTCAGACAACCACCACTGTAACACAATCAGGAGAGTTCAGACAACCACCACTTTAACACAAGCAGGAGAGTTCATAAAACCACCACTTTAACATGAGCAGGAGAGTTCAGACAACCACCATTGTAACACAATCAGGAGAGTTCAGACAACAACCATTGTAACACAATCAGGAGAGTTCAGACAACCACCACTGTAACACAAACAGGAGAGTTCATATAACAACCACTGTAACACAAACAGGAGAGTTCAGACAATCACCACTTACACAAACAGGAGAGCTCAGACTACCACCACTAACACAAACAGGAGAGTTCAGACAACGACCACTGTAACACAAACAGGAGAGTTCAGACAATCACCCCTTACACAAACAGGAGAGTTCAGACTACCACCACTAACACAATCAGGAGAGTTCAGACAACCACCACTGTAACACAAACAGGAGAGTTCAGACAATCACCACTTACACAAACAGGAGAGTTCAGACTACCACCACTAACACAAACAGGAGAGTTCAGACAACCACCACTGTAACACAATCAGGAGAGTTCAGACATAATCCATTGGGTTTATGAACATGTGTTTTTTATTTCATTATTGCAGTTATTTTGCATATTATAATTAATTTCAATTAAATAATGATCCATCGTAAACTTATATTGGGATTTCAATACATTGGTTGTGTGATATTTCATCCTTCTTAGTAGAATGACTTTCAATAGTACATATATCACAATATTTATAAGTCATGATACATGTATATCACTACATAAATATCTATCAATGACAGCACCACTGACTGACCAATGAGAGCATTACTGACTGACCAATGACAGCACTACTGACTGACCAATGACAGCTCTACTGACTGACCAACGACAGCACTACTGACTGACCAACAACAGCACTACTGACTGACCAATGACAGCTCTACTAACTGACCAATGACAGCACTACTGACTGACCAATAACAGCTCTACTGACTGACCAATGACAGTGCTACTGACTGACCAATGACAGCACTACTGACTGACCAATGACAGCTCTACTAACTGACCAATGACAGCTCTACTAACTGACCAATTGCAGCATCCAGATTCCTGAAGTAAGATTTATGGAGATCAATGTCCTCTCGTCCAGGGATATCCCACAAGGTCAAGGACACCACTGTGTGACCTGGAACATTCAGCTTCCGCACCGTGCTTTCTGGAATCAGATTTATAACTAAAACTTCATTTTTTTTCTCTTAAATTGATCAAATCTGACACTAGTTAATTTGAAATTAGAAAAAGTATGTAATAATGAGTCAGATCTTACCTCACAAAATTTAAAGAAATACATCAAAATACATGATAAAAACCCCATGCAATAGAAATTTAATGGCAACCCAGGCATTTTATCAAGAAGATTTGTGGCAACCCCAGGCTGTTTATCATGGAAGATATTGGCAACCCCAGACTGTTTATCATGGAAGATATTGGCAACCCCAGACTGCTGAGAGAGTAATTATATTCTGATGTTTCAATTCAAACATGTATCAGTTAATGATATTACATACCTATGACTGCTTTCTTGGTGGGAATATACATGGGACTGAACTGGTTCTTCAGGAATCTCAGTGCCACACATGTCTTACCTACTTCAGGATCACCTGTATAACACAAGAAACATGTTTACATCATATCCATAGGATACATCATACAATAAACTATATTTGTATTAAATGTGAAGCTATAAACTGGTACTGCCACACAAAGTTACCAATCATACCTGATGTAGATGTATCTTTAATAACATACCCTATGGCTTCCATAAAACATGGAGAAAAAAATTGCACATAAAACTTTCTTTGGGCGTGAGATATTGCCAAGGAAAAACATTTTGACACAAGAATGAATATATATGGTATTTTGTTCAGTCTCCCAGATCTCTGCCAGGTGAGGTACTACAAAGACAAGACTCCGAACAGACCTTTGCACCCACCACTGTATGATGTTCGTTAGTTCTATGCAAGTTTGATCTTTTCTGTTCTTATTTAACATCTGTTGGATTGATAGCAATGTCAGCAATAAATGCATTTTGTGGTAACTTTTGATCAAATTTCATACTGTTCTATGTAGCATTGTCCTTGTGAGGTTGTTATTTGACCTATTCATTAAAATAAAATTGTAATTTGTACAAAATGATACAAAAGAGTTTCTGTTAGCAATATGTTTCTTTTGAAATATATATATACAAAACTAGGAAACAGGAAGTACTAACTGATGAAATTGTGAAAGATCCTTATTTTTTCTTTATATGAAAAAATAGTGAACCAAACTTTAATGGTCAAATTCAACATGTGCACCTGCAGGTGGCCAGGTATTTCCCCGATCAAGCATAAATGTAACATACATAAATAAGGCCAAGCCAAAAGGAGCATAACAAATTAAACTTTAACTGTCAAGGAGAAAGATTTGTCTAATACCTCTAATCTATATTGAGAGTAAGTGATAACAAGAATTGTTCCAAGATGGACAAACAGATGGACAATGGACAGACAGACCACAAACAAAAAGTGACTAGAACAGCCCACCAGCTGATGATTGATGGTTAACTGACTAATATTGGAGTTTCAGTACCCTTGTAAAATCTGCTACAAGTTAGTATATATATTTTGAAAAAAATCAAATCTACAATGAGAGTTTATAATTTGGTATAGCAATATGTATATAAATGGTATTTATGAGATAAAATAAAGAGAATCAAACCTGTCTGAAAACCAGAGTTAAAATAATTTCAAAAAACACTTGACCTCCTATTGCCCGTTGAGAATATTGATCTTTTCACACATCGTGGGAATTATCTGGGTCAATCTTTTGGCAGCTATAAATCCATTAATCATGCCTACAAAACTTTAACCTTTGGATGAATGCAGTAAACCCTATTAAAGAACCTTACCTACTAGGGCAATCTTCAGTGGGGGGATGTGTTGTCCAGTGCCTGAATAGAAACAAGTTAATAGGATAGGAAAACAAATCTTATCACAATAAAATACAATCTGTGCAAATTGTAATAATCTAACTGATTCTTATCCCATCATCTTCAATCAATAATATTCGAAAGTATATTTCTGTTCAAGTAATTTATTCACTTTACCTTCTGGTGACATGATGTCATTAAAGTTGTATTGTACATGAAAAACAACTTAAATGGTAGCTGTGAAGAGCAATGGAACTAATTAAAGCCTGCAACAACTGACATCATACATATGTAGCAAGACCGGGCCTGGTGACTACCAATGACCAGGTAACTACTGCCTTAAATTGGTTAGAGCATCAGTCTAAGAGTTCACGGTCTAGCCTCATTGCATTTCCAATCTCCTGTTCCCGAACTTTGCTTCAAAAAGTGTGTATACATACATCAATTAGATTCCCGAACCTTGATTGTGAATAATGTTGTTTTTGGGAGCAAATACCTTGAAAAAGTTGGGAGGAGTGTAATGAGGCTGTCTAAAGTTGGGAGGTGGCAGGTTGAAATTCTGGTGAGCCATTTATTTTTGTAGGAGATGGGATACTAAGAGAACACATTGTGATAATCAAATAAAGAATACTTCATAACAATTATCATAGTATCAAATATTCAAATGACTTGCATTTTTGTTACTTGTCAAGTTTCAGTTTGATTTCTTAATATAATTTACCAAGTGTGGCAGATTTTAATTGTACATAGGACTACAGTTGCCTTCTAGCTTCCAGCTAGAGGGAATTTCCCTTAACTCAGTCGGAGAGCGTCCAAATAGGAACCTTGAGATTGAGAGTTTGATCCCTGGTGGAAGCGCACTATTCTCTTTAATCCTGTTACAAATGGTGTCCATGGCCCTCCCTGTGTTGACTGCAGGGAGTTAGAACCTGGGTTGTGGTGTTCGAGGGCGAACACGTTTAAAAAGGGGGATTAGTGTGGCAGATTTTAATTGTACACAGGATAACGATTTTCCCTTTAGGATTATAATTTCCCTTTAGCTCAGTGCACGTTGTAGAGCGTCCGACTAGGAACCTGGATATCGAGGTTCGATTTCCTGTTACACCAAGTAATGATGAAGTTTTAAAATAAAATACATGTTTGTGTACTAATCTTCACAGTTATTTAATAGTTATCAGATAATATTTGTAACATTTTTTAACATATTTTCCTATACCGATTCTGTGTAGCCAGTCTTGACATTGCTACAGTACTAACAGTACGGCGAGCTCGAGTATGCTAAAATACCTGGTGAACAGAACACCAACCTAACATGAAGACGGATAAATGTAACAATGATTGAGTTTGCATAAAATATAATAAAATAACCTGAGTAGGCAAAGGGATTATCTGAATCTGAACTGCAACCTGCTCCCATTATGTTCTTATTATTCAAAATCCATCGCAAATTCGCAGTCCGTCGGCCATGTTGTTGACATTGTAGCTAGGTGTTCTTGTGTAGGGCGTCATCAGTTCATGTGATATGCTGTCATAACCTGATATAGCATTGTCGTTATCATTATATATAGTCATGTAAATGTATAAAGTTAAATGCGTAAACTAATAAAGTTACACATTAAATAAAAGTCAACAGGACAATTTGTAACACCTGCTTTGTACGAGCTGGTTCTGTGGTGTAGTGGTTATCACGTCTGCTTTACACGCAGAAGGTCGCGAGTTCGAACCTCGCCAGAACCTCTCAATTATTTTTTACTTCAAACGTTTCATTTTGTTTCTCACTAATTCAGAAATATAATTTTCGTTTGATAAAAACTATTCTTAATTTTAATCAGAGTGTTTAGGCCTTGGAAAAGTGTAATAATATGTGCCCACTTACACAAATTTTGATGTGCATCCAAGAGAGAAACCTGAGTAAAAGGCTTTGTGGTTTAATTTAATGTGTTTTGGAAACCCATTTATAAACATTTTGATGTTCTTCCACTAAAATAATATAGGTTGTCAAAATTTTCAGGATTTTAAATGGAAATTTATGTAAAAAGGAGTGAATTTTGAAAAAAAATTGAAGGACACAATTTTGCAAAATAATGTCAATAAAAATGATACTGCCATAGATAAGTATTGCATTAATGTATATCATTTTAATATAAGCTGAAATTGTGTAAAATAAATATTGAAAATTGACATTTTATAATAAAACCATATTGCATGTAAGAGTCATCTTTCTTGAAAAACTTCACAGTAGTGAAATAGGTAGCCGGTTTCCTGAAGTACAGAAAAATGGACACGTGTGACTTTGATAAAAAAACCAACTGAATTAATGCCTGGATTGCTTTTGATTTTTTTAATATTGAGAGAACTCACTGGTCTGGCAATAATAAACATACAATATTCATCAGTTTAAGATTGAACAATGGAAAAAACATAAACATAATGACTAATTACAATTATACTACAACGTATTTCTGTTTTCTAATATTCTGTAAAGAATGGCAACTCTTTATCAACAATGTTTTCTACCTATTTTTCCTGTATTTTTAGCACTTTGTAAGACTCATTAGAATATGCGGAAAATGAAATACTGTCTCCCTACTTTGGATTTTCAACTAGGGATGTACTTCCTATTTCCGTTTATCAATACACTCATTCGACCTTATACCTAGAATATAGCAATCGGATAAATTGGATGAAGACCACAACAACAATGTATTAGTAGACCAACGTTTATATCAAGGTTCCGTGGTGTAGTGGTTATCACGTCTGCTTAACACGCAGACGGTCACGAGGTCGGAACCTGTTGTATATTTTTTTTATCAGTAGACAAGGCTATTTTTCAAAGTGATTATAATTGCTTTACATATTTTGCTATTTTGCGGGAAATGTTTTAAAACAATCACCGTTAAAAACGTCTTCACACAAACAATTATTTATAGATACTTTTTTTTTGTTTTCGAATTAATCAATTCACACTTGTAGCATATATTTTCATAACGGTTTCGTGGTGTAGTGGTTATCACGTCTGCTTCACACGCAGAAGGTCGCGAGTTCGAACCTCGCCGAAACCTCATATTCTTTTTTTGATTTAATACATTTTAAAATTCATTGCAGATTTGTTTTTTACACGAGAAAGATAAATTACTTTTACCAAATTAAATGTTTTGAAAATATACCTGATCATTACGTAGCTCGAAGGCAGTCTTATCCAACTGTCATTGTATGGTTTCACGTCGAGTCAGCATCATTCCATCCTCGATATCTAGGGGTTACGCTCACTTTCGCTCTCTGCACCCCTGGAATATGTCTGGAACATAGCTGTTTGATTTGTCTCAGGTGAAAAAAACATGACCAATCACTAGGCTTTGAAGGTTACAAAGGAGAGACGCCCGGCTGGCTTCAAAGCCTGTCATTTTTTACCGTTACGCGACCGCGAGATTCTTTTGATGTACATCAAATGATCGAACTAGTCTTCTCGTCTCGTCCACAAGGTGTTGCACATTCAGCCTTCAATTTTGCTATGACAATGTCCAGGGGTGTAGAGAGTGAAAGTGAGCGTAACCCCTGGATATCGAGGATGGTATCACTCCCACTTAATGGGTTACTCAAACAGGTACATTTTGTGGTCCAGCTTAATCAAAGTGCTGGATCAGACGTTTCCTTCAAATTGAATAGTATTGTATTTGAAATGTGGTATCGTGTCAGTAAAGCAAGGTGTTCCATTGGTACTGCAATCAAAGGGTTAAAAATCGCGGAAGCTAATTTCGGCATTTGTTACTTCACAAAACTAACATTTACTGCACCATACGGAACCTCGTATAATGCTGAATATGGGACGTATTGATGAAAAAAGTAATTTTATCAGAACGTAGTTTGGTAGCTGTTTTTCTTGCTGTGAATATGCACAATAAAAATCGTCTGAAATTAATCCCCCATGGGTAGATGTATAATGTACTTTTTTTAGACGCATATTTTATACTAACACATATGAATTGTACAATGGGGAAATACCAGTGCCTGGAAGAAACAGAGATGAATATTCTGAAAACAAATCCTCGATGAACCGAGTGATATAGTCACTTCTCCATTTGGATAACAGCAAGTTATATCTGGAAATATACATAACGCTCGTGATCAACAAAAATACTAAAAAGCAGTGTACCTTTTTCGCATTTCTCACTCACTGTGAAAAGCCAACATCTGTCTCAAAGATTCACAAAATAGAAAAAAACATTGCTGTAAAGACAGGGGTGTTGTTCAACGCCTCTTCAAAACGCCGGGGTTCTCCAGAAAAAAACAGCATCCTGTCACTCCGCCCGACATTTGATTTGCATTAAACAACATATATGGATTTTTTCAAACAAACATAGTCACCAAATGGTTTTACACCCTATTCACGTACAATTCTGCACATTACTTTGAAAAATGTTGGGGGGGTTTTGTAGTACATTTGTTGCACCCAGAGAAAAAACCGAAATTGAAAAGTGCTGTCTATCTATCTATATGTTATACTCCACAGAGACCAAAATGGCTTTAATGCGGAGGGGATTTATGTAAGCATGTTTTGGAAATCTCCTTTAAACGTCATCTTTTGTGACCTTTAAATACTTTCATTATATGAAATTATGGTATTTAAATCCGAATATATTTAAAAAAATCAATAAATCTAACTGCTGCTTTCAAACCATTATACAATTCCGGGTGATGCATTGTTTATCCCCGATCAAAGCGATGTGCAGTATCATTTTGACTCACGATCGGGTACCTATCCTCAACGTCAAATGCAGCCACGAAAAATATTATTCTGAGGTTGAATATGAACAAAGAAATAGATTTTAAATTGAAATAATGATGATTAGGATATGAAAACAATTTTCGTCGGTAAAAAACCGGTGCGTGTGTGTGTGGTTCCCCACCCAGACATCCATCCCCATTCCTCGATCTGTCAATGCAATCAGCCTTATCCATCAATCAGGTGTTCAAAATCCGTTTTAATATTGAAATACGCTTACCTGAAAGACTTCCCGTAAAAGAGACATGATATATACAAACACAGATTGATAATGCCAGAGAGTAATATGTGGTACTGTGGTGTAGTGGTTATCACGTCTGCTTTACACGAAACTCGTCGGAACTTGTTGTATTTTTTTTTATCAGTAGACAAGGCTACTACTATTTTTCAAAGTGATTATACTTGCTTTACATACTTTGCTATTTTGCGGCAAATGTTTTAAAACAATTACCATTAAAAACGAATACGTCTGCACACAAACAATTATTTATAGATACTTTTCTTTTGTTTGACGATTAACCAATGCCTTTGTACACTTGTAGGAATGGTTTCTATATCGGTTTCGTGGTGTAGTGGTTATCACGTCTGATTTTTTGGCTTTTATCAATACGTTAACCAAGATACTTTTTTCAGATGCTGATCAGAGTTACCTTTCTGATTTTTCTCTCGGAAAACTCATACTTCTGGGTTATACCAGGAAGATTAAACATACGAATGTTTTTTTCATCAAGTTCTTTTTAGGAGTAGTGCGTTTTTGCGTTCTTAAAAGGCGTAATCTGGTGGTACATAAAATGACAAAAGTGAATATAAAGAACTTTTTTATGTTAACATTTCGTAAATATTTTGATTATATCAAACACTACTACCTCATGAAGAAGAAATGTGTTCTATTCAAGAAATATTTTGTTGCTGACAATAAATTATTGAGGGCTGTAGATTTATCTTCAGGCACTGAAAATATCCTATCTTATGCATTATCATTATGATTAAGTTGTCGTTTTTCAACTAATTTGTAAATG